GCAACAGATCCTATAGTCTTTGCCATGACGAAAGCCACAGAAGATACTGTGGTTTGACTGGTGTAGCAGTATCACCATCAATAGAAGTTCTTAACAAACTCTGCATGGAAAACACACTGCTTACAGACCAAAAGAAACATATTCCTGATCCCGATTATCTACCCCCATAAAGTGAATAAGTTATTTAAGTGGTTCTCTGTGTGACATATGCAACAGTACATGTATAGTCTTTGCAATTACAAAAGGCACAGAAGATACCGTGCTTTGACTGGTGTAGCAGTATCACCATCAATAGAAGTTCTTGACGAACTCTGCATGGAAGACAACTGCTTACAGATCAGAAAAAAATTAATCCTGATCCCGATTATCTACCCCCTCAAAGTGAATATGTGTACCGTTTAAGTTTCCATTACAGAATTTCATCTCACAGTAACATAAGACATGTACCTCACACCGGGAAAGGGTAATGGATTCATGGGATATTTTCCTTTTCTTGGAGCATATATATATATATATATATCACAAATCTATATAAAGTTTTACCCTTTAGAGACACTTCTCTATTGGCATTCTCAATTGCTTGTTAAATTAATTTTTTTAATTTTCCGTCAACAACGCAATGTTTTCCCATTAGAGAATAGTAATTTAAGAGAAACTAATTATTCAGCAAGGCTTTAATGGCATGTCTTTAACACAATAAATCTATTTGTGATGGATACATTTTGAAAAACATAAAACTCTTCTTTGAAGTCAAAATACAGTCCATCCACAGCAAACTCTTTGCATTTGCTTTCCATCCTTACAGGTGTCTAGCGAAACAAAATCTATTTTGGACCAAAACATATCCATATTTAGCAAGTTAATGATGAAATGAGAGACCGACAATTGTTTTTATTAAATTAATGTCAGAGGGTTGAAATAAACATGATAATATGTACATGTAAAGATGTTATTCAACTTGGGATCAAGCAAAACGGAATTAAATTTCTGCTTACGCACATGCCCACTACTCAGCTCAAGGCAACATGCAACATAATAAGCCTCCACCAACTGATTTGTTTCATCCAATGTCTGGCAGACTAATTCAACCATGTATTGCCATGCATCTCTCTCTCTCTCTCTCTTTCTCCCTTGTCTGTCTCTCTCTCTTTCTCTCATCTCTCTCTTTCTCCCTTGTCTGTCTCTCTCTTGCTCGCTCCCTCTCTCACTCCCTTCTTCCTCTCCCTCTTTCCCCCTCTCTCTCCCTCCCTCCCATCTCTCTCTCTCTCTCTCATCTCTCTCTCTCTCTTTCTTCCTTCTCTGTCTCTCTTGCTCACTCACTCTCTCCTCTCACTCCTCCACCTCTCTCTCTCTCCCTCCCTTCCTCTTCCCCCTCTCTCTCCCTCCCTCCCATCTCTCTCTCTCTCATCTATATCTTTCTTCCTTCTCTGTCTCTCTTGCTCCCTTTCCCTCCTCCCCCCTCCCTCCCTCCCTCTCTCCCTCCCTCCCTCCCTCCCTCCCTCCCTCCCTCCCTCCCTCCCTCCCTCCCTCCCTCCCTCCCTCCCTCCCTCCCTCCCTCCCTCCCTCCCTCCCTCCCTCCCTCCCTCCCTCCCTCCCTCCCTTCTTCCTCTCCCTTCCTTCTTCCTCTCCCTCCTTTCCCCCTCTCTCTTTCTCCCTCTCTGCCTCCTATCTCTCTCCCTCTGATGCGCCAATGTGCGAGTGCTTTTTGAGTTAACAAAACAATGTGCATCTACATGGTGCATGATAAAAGCCTCCACTCATAAAAAATTTCTCTCTCCATTGACCAACACATTACGTATAATTGTGCTTTTCCTACTCAAATGCCAGAAGCATTTACATTATTCATTCGCCTATTTCTTTTTTCCTATCTCGAAAGAAGTATGCAGTCTTCTTCTACGAGAGAAGAAACGAAAAACTGCCGCACATTACCACCGTAACACAGGAAAGAGAACATGCATTATTACAATATTAGTTATATATTAATTTCATCACATAAAAATGTAGTATTTTCATGTCGTAGCTTCTGTTGCTTTAATTATTTTTCTAACTTCTTGTACATGTATATTTTTGTATCACATGGTATATTTTTTAGAAAGTGATTATCATGAAGCAGGTGATATGGACAGTGAAAAAAATACACGGGGTATTAACCTAATAAGGTTAAAATTTCATCCATAAAAGGGACATCTTGTGACAAGAAAGATATTGAAATTGAATATTGCATAGAGAACATATTTATGTGTCTTTTTCGGAGGCGCCGCTGCACGCACGGCGGCGCAGAGATGCGAGTGTGAGAAAGATGGCTGATGAATGAATATTTCATCTGTCTGTTATTACACTCAGGATCCTTTTATCATAAAAGCAATCCGCTATAAATAACCAGGACTGAGGAATTTATTGTTTTCTTCAAAGCCTGCTTGATTTGGCAAGATCTATATCAATTTGAGAGGTATATTCTAAGTGATGTTTGATGTACACCTCTCACTCCCTCTCTCTCCCCCTCTCTCTAGCTCATGATTTAGATGGGAGAATGACGGTAGAAAATATACTTTGCAAAACTCTCTCTCTCTTTCCAAGTCAGTCAAGTCTACTATTTTCCCCTCTCGTTAGATGTAATACCACGCTCCCTCGTTCTCTCTCTCTCTCTCTTTCTCTTTCTTCATTGTTATCTGTTTCAGACATTTGGTCCTTTTTTTTCTTTTTTTCTCTATAATTGATTCTCTTAGAATTAAAGTCTTTTTCCTCCACTAAATTGCACCACATTTGTTTTGAAAAGAAAGATTAGGGCATTCAGCATTTATAGTACATTGCATATTTGCAAAATAAATACATTTTTAAACCTCTTCCTATTATACTATCCATAAACAAAATGAGAAGTGATTAAATTTTTTGTTTTAAATTGCTATAGATCCCCCCCCCCCCCCTTAACAATAAGTATCCGAAAAGCTTTTCAAGTTTCCATCAAATACAATTCTGTTGGTTTAACATGGACAGCTTTTGATTGCAAGGTGTAAAATTTTCTTCAGCTCATCAATTTGACCTACAGGCATTGTGCCCCCCCCCTTACTGCCTCTCATAGGTTACGTCTGTGGTAAGTTAAACTCTTTATGTGTTTATCTCCCAGTGCCATATTGTCTTTGCCATTGGATAATTTTACCAAAGGCGACCAGGTTAAACAATAGTTTCCTGTGTTAAACTAAGGATTTATACAGGTCATTACTAACTATGGATCATTTTGCATAAAAACATTCCTTCAATAAAGTGGGCCTGTTCTTTTGCAGATTCTACTAAGTCCTTAGGAACAGATTCTGGTTTGGCATACAAGGGGTTAAGAAGGTGCAAGAAACACCACTCTCATTTGTATGAGTGTCTATGGGTGCGTTTAAGCTCAATTTTGAAGGCAGAATGAGCGATTTGAAACGCACATCATAAACGTTCATCGTAATCGCAGTTCCACGGTGTACTGTTTATGCTCACTTCTCTGGCTCCTCCATGCAATTCTCGCTGGGTGGCCTTAATTGGCCTTGCAGGTGGATTCGCAAACCTGCACTGTGCATGCTACGTAGACCCACTAGAGGTCGGTGCGTTGACCCCATTTAAACGTGTTTACAAATTGTAAATGCACCTTTTTGTGCGTTTACGATCGGTGATCTTGATCTCCGTTTTTCGGTGATTCTACAAAAGTGAGAAAGGACGCAACCGTGTTTTGAACTAAACGCGTAATAGATGCCTGATTCTGGCCAGAAAAAGTTGAGAATAAACATACCTTATGAGGGATTGGTGTGAAACATTGACATTGTGAACAACCTTATCATCTTTCAATTTGGTCAAGAGCAAACGCTGCACAAGAGAGCTCAGCAAACAAAACAAGGAAATATTGAAATTAAGGCCTAGGAACAGATTATGGTCTGGCATACAGAGGGTTAAGAAGGTGCAGGAGACACCACTCTCATTTGTATGAGTGTCTATGAGGGGAGTGGTGTGAAACATTGACATTATGAACAACCTTATCATCTTTCAACTTGGTCAAGAGCATAGGCTGCAGATGAGAGCTCAGCAAACAAAACTGCGGAAATATTGAAATTGGCACGTCCATTTGCACTGATTTCAATGAAAATGCGAGTGGTATCGATTAGCACAACTTACGCATTCACCCTCTTTCTCTCTCCTTTTCAAACCTCAATCTAGCCCCAGGCATATCTCCTTTATTTATATTTTTCCGGAGCCAAAACAGGAGCGAAAGAAAAGAGGGTTCCCACAAGGGCTAGTTCAGTCTTTTCAACGCCACATATGATTACAGCAACTGCGTGGAATGTGACGTAAACATTACGCCCGTTTGAGCCCGAAACATGAGGGTGAGGGCATGCCACATGTTCCTGTCTGAGTGATGGGATGGATTTGGGGGCAACATTAGAGTGGGTCTGATGAAATGTGACATTCTTGGGCAAATTCTTTGAGGTCTAGGTTTCAATCTGGTCACTTGATCAGAGGTTTAATAGACTGCTGTACTTTTCATGAAAGCAGAGATGAATTAAATTCTCTTAAATAAATGGATATTGAAGTTCCACTTGCAGAAGTCAAGAAATAGATTACCATAAATCTATAAGCAAAGGAAGTTTTCATACCATAATTTATGTCACAATCACCATAAAATTGAATAATGTAATAATTCTATGGTGTATTATTCTAGAGGTTACATGTTACTTTTGTCTACAGTATACATGTACATTGCGTTCATGTTCTTCTTACTTGGTATAAAAAATAATATTTTTCATTGAAAGTGGTAAAAAGCCTCCAACCCTAAAGGATCTTAGAATGTAAGTCATGAAGCTGAATTGTGAGTCATCAATGCAGCCCAACCTTCCTTGATGATAATGTCAGAGCGTTCATCTGCAGCCCGCTTCCTGGCTCGAAGAAGGGTCACTATGGATTCTAGACTGGTCTTATTAATGTCCATAATAGTGTTAAAAATCTCAAATCCTAAATCGTGAATGACCTACCTGAATCGTGGGTCATCAATGCAGCCCGACCTTCCTTCATGATCATGTCAGAGCGTTCATCTCCAGCCAGCATCTTGGCCAGGAGAAGGGTCACAATGGACTCTAGACTGGTCTGGTTGATGTCCAGCAGGAGAATGGCTCGATTCACAAAGTTCCCAACGTCTAGTGAGGCTCTGACCTCTGCGCTGAAATCCTTCATAGGGATCCTCTGTACCAATGTAAACACATAAAGAGAGGTTTAAGCCCCTCTAAAGTGTTGGGAGCCCCCCAAATTGAATATTGATGAAAAAATAGAAAACTTAGGTTTTCTACGTATAACAGAGAACCAAAATTATGTATTCTTCTATCAATATTTGTCTTCAAACACATTTTGGGGGAAATCTTTGCAGAAGTGTGTCTTAAATGACATCCTCTTTCACATTATGATATAATTTAAGTGAAATATTGCCATCCAATTTTTGGCAAATTTGGGGGCTCCCAACACTTTTAAGTGGCTTTAACATTTGATGCTCCTTATTATCTCCCAGTCAATCACAAAATGCTTTAGTGATAAGGCCTTGATAAGACAGAATCGTCTTCTTCAACCATTGAACAGCTAATAAGGTAAAAATGTATTTTAAAAAATATCTTAATACTACTCTATACTATGAAAAGTCGTAAGATAAACATAAACATACAAGCTGGCAAACAGTTATCCTTTGCATCTGTGAAAGTGTACACTTAGTGTTTAGGATCAAATGACCGTTTAGTATGTCATACATTCTTGCTTAGAGCATGAACAAATCAATTGTAATAATTAACAATTTGGGATAAATCTGTGGTAACAAAAAATACATTTGATTCAAGGAAACTCCTATTGTCCACTTCAGAAAATAAAGGGGAGGTGGTTAAATAAATTGATGAAGTTGTGAAAAGGAAAAAAAAGAAAAAAATTGCTTACCTCGTGCTGTGCATACATCAATGTGACTTCCTCCTCCTCATCTGTAAATGAAAGAAAATAATGAAACAAGAATTAACTCTTCCGTTGCTCTCTTCGCATTTCTCCATGTTTGCCACAACTGCATTTTTGCAGGAAAAAATAGGTAATCATTTGAAGGAAGGGTTGTTTTGTGCAACACATTGGATTTGTAAATTGACCCATTGTGATCTCGGTTAGCTACATGACAACCCTTTGAACACTGGCATGGGTTAATCTTGCGCTGGAAACAGTTAAATAATCTTGAAACCTTTGGTATATCTATCCCATTATAAAAACAATTATTTTATTTGTGTGGCTTATAAAGAGTTTTACAAAAATCGAATTAGAATTCTGCTTCATCCAACATCACAGAAATACTTCATAATATATTTCTATTCAAAATAAGACTTTTTTTTAACAGTAGTTTTGGAGATGTGGCACTTTTCACTTTATATAACAATCAATACAAATTCAGCCCTCTTAAAGTACCCTCAAAAGTGAGTTCATACCAACTATACCATGTGACAAATTGTCACAAGTGGAAGTTAACCTATGAAGTGCTCTGTCAAAATTATATGCAAAAAGTAAAATAATGAACAGTATGCCTAATTTTCAACACCTTACAATGACCTTTTCACTGCTAATTTATGATTTACATGTAGGTGTATTTTTGTATGCTGATTATCTCACATGAAAGGCTCCCAGTTTAAAAGGAATGGCTTTCCCATGAACGTAAATTGTGAGGCATCTTTACCATCCAAAACAGATGATTGCAAAGATGGAAAAATGAGACCCTTTCAAAACATGTTTACAGTTAAAATCCATATCCACATGGAGGTAAAGCAATTACAGCTGATAAAGTCATCATTCATAGGGGTGTTTACGTCGATAGCAGATATAAACATGACGTTGGCAGGAATTATCTTCTAAGACAATTACAGCTTGTCCACACACAACACAATTTATCCCAAAACTCTATAGCGAAACGTCATATAAAGAATCATTGTATAAATTCCAGGGTGTACACACACACACAAGAAAGTAATCCCGAAACTCTAAAGCGAACCGTCGTAAAGGTGCGCAGTTTGCTACTGCGGTCATGAAATGGAAGTGGAAATGAGAGGTCAGGTCTCCTTTTGCTTGAGGTCGTGTTAAGCCCCGACCAGTTATACCATTTTAGCTCGACTAGTTATACTAGTTACGTCCACACATAACACATTCCGTGATTAGGCGTGATTAGGCGTGATTCTTTATTGAGTTCTAGTTCGAGGCGATGCCCGAACCCCCGTTGTATCGTTAGTAAGCGTCCACACACACACAATTTCATTGTATTAACTATCCCAAAATGGTATAACTATCCCGAAACGGTATAACTAATCATCTCTAATCACGGAAAGTGTTGTGTGTGGACACGGGATTAGACAACCAATACCTAGACACACTAGAGACCAACACCAGACCAACAGAAAACAGAACATGCAATAAGTCATTGCGGAGATGGAACTTGTACAAATGACACCAAATATTATAACAGATCTGTTACACGTAGAGAAGTCCCACTTTGTACATTTTAGAATAATCACTGCCAAAGTGATGGATGTGCTTCATGAACATCTTTTTTTCGCCTTCTTGAAAAGAATAGTTTCACCTGTGTACCATAGAATAAATTAATAAAAGAGCAGTTGTCCCAATGGGTTTTTACAGTGTTTAACAAATTGCTTTTATCTGCCCATGCACAAATAGTATTTCTGACAGCTTCTTGGCTTGTTTCTGGAATATAACAGAAATGGCTAACCAGAACAAGAATTCAGCGGTAACACTGAAATGTTACAAGTACGTTTCGACAGAAAAGCAATAAACCATTTATTAGCGCAGCTCACAGAATTACCGAGGTACTCTAGATGTCTGGAAAGTGGAAATTGTTTGGGCATTGATGTAACACCTTGTATTGTGATACGCAGTGACACCGTAACCTTAAGCCGTAATGTTCATGGAAACGTTTCTACAGAGCTGAGATGGCAAGCGTAACCAGAAAAAAATCCACCTCTGAAGACGAGTACTATACTCTGTTAACATTACCTGTATAAACAAGACAAGAATATGGTTTGTTTCTACAGGAGTGTGAACCTACAAATCCATTAGACACGGACAGTAACATAAAGTTGTGTCATTTTGAACATGAAGAAAACCATTTAAATTACCCTATATGGCCAAGTAGTGTAAAAAAGATATCTTTGCAGATGCTCTCTCTCTAGCATTTCAATTAACAATAAATTAACAAAACACAAGCTAAATAATTTTAAATTGAAATCATCTGTTCTGGCGATTTTTGTAGATTTTTATCATTAAAATGTCTGGAAATGTCATTTTGCATTTCTGTGTATCAAATGGATACCAGACAAATATATTATCTAGGGTCCTCTGGTAATTGTTGTGTTCCGTTAAAGTTTTATCGGGGGGGGGGGGGGGTTGAATTGGTATCAATGGTTGGGAGATGCGAAGGTCGAGGGTTCGAATCCCGACACGACACGGCACTTGCTACTCTCCACCCAGGTGTTAAATAGGTACCCGGTAGGACGCGACCGTCATTGTTGGTCGAACAGTTTTTGAGCGTCATGTAACGCCTGGCTGGAATGCTCCCCAGGGAGTGGAGATTGTGCACACAGTGTGTGCGGGCAAGCACTGAATCCAATGACAGGGGTAATGGTATATTTGTAAAGCGCTTAGAGACATTTGTAAAAGCGCTATATAAAAATTAAATATTATTATTATTAGGGCATAAATGTTTAAAAAGTTCAGCACACCCTAGTGATGCCTCTCGCTCCGGCAAGAGTACATCGCCTAGTAATGTGCCAAAATGATGTTTAAGGCTATTACATCATCTGTTCAGAGCCAGAAGGCTGTTCACTCTGTGTTAAAGCCCTTCTGCACTAGTTTGGCCAGGGGGATTAGACACTGACAGGTGGTTACATGTATGTCATCAAATCAGCTCTCAGTTAACATAAGAAAAAGGGGATCATGGAGGACCAATAGGCACCGATTAGGCATGGTTTGCTATATAGAGGGCGCAAGTAGCTTTAAGTAGTGCAGTGGGGCTTAAAGGTATATGAGTTAATGCCCTTCTGGCTCAAAAGAGACCATATCATCTGCTCAGAGTAAGGGTGCGTTCAATCGACACTTTTTCACCCTAGAATCACGATTTTTAAAGCGTTTTTTTCATCGGTCGTAAAATAAACGTGTTTAAGAACACAAACATGAAACGTTGAAAAAGATGCGTTTTGTATCATGATTCAGCAGAATCACGGTTGCTAAAATTTGATTGAACGAATGGAGAGAAGGGCATTGTCATGTCTCTATGCAACAATACAAACTTTGCCCCCTTAAGCTGCCCTCCCCCCCCCCCCCCCCATATTTGGCCTCTTCTGACCCTTAGGAATCAGGAGGAGGAGGTTAGACCATCATGATCTGACAGTGTCCCGACTGCCTTGAAGAGCATACATGAATTACATGTGCTTCATTACCGTGTATCTCGTTTCCTACATGGTCATGCTCTCAATCATGTGCAGTAGAAGGATGTAAGGATGATTCTAAATGCCGCAAGCATATCACACCTTAGCCAAGGCCAAGACAAATAACTAGCCTCCTTTTAGACTACAAGCCATATCCTTCAAGAAGTCGTCATATTACAGGAGCACAAGCATGCGACCGAATCGCTTTACTTATCAGGAGTAGGTTTTCCATTTTCCTTCAAGACATGAGTGATGTGGATTGAACTTCGATGGAATCAAACATACATTGTAGCAATAGATGTTGTGAATTATTACACGAATTAAAGAAATATAATTGCTTGTAAGACTGAAATGAGATTGGAGCGTGAGTAAAGTACAGAGCAACCTCTGTCCACCGCTGGAAAGCTACTTGTTACAGTGTGATGACGTAGCCGACGTGTGTTGATGCATCGGCCGGGCTCCACTATTTCGCCCATGCTAGATTCTAATTGGACTTACGGAGCAATTTAGGCCAATTACATCGATTCTCCTCAAGAATTTCTGTTTGAGGATTGTGCAAAATGTAGCAGAGGCCTGGGACGGAGCTTTGAAGGAATGTCGTCTTGTTTAAACACGCCATGATCAATTAACCTTTGGACAAATGAGTTTTAGAGACGTCTGTCGCCCTGTTCGCACCAACGATAAACTTGTTCTAGGAAATAGCTCCCAAGTTGACTTATCAAAGTATGTTCATGCACTGTCTTCAATCAAATCCAAAACTTATAAATTCCTCTAGTGGTCACTTTGAATCTCCATCAAAATGAAATTATAACATGCACAAATCCCTCGCATCAACGACCATTTAGAAACAAATGCAATCAAAAAATCAAAAAATCAAACAGGTGTGAAATTTGTATAAAGTTGATTTTTCACCTTGTTTTAAATGAAAAGCTAATATATTATTTGTGCCTGACAAACCTGATTTTGCTTTTTATTATTTATGGAACAAATGCCATGTATAAGAGAAAACAAAATGTCAGTTTTTATAGACAATATGAACCGATTTTAGAGAATGTTTCAAACAAAGAGAAATAAATGCATGAACATTGAAATAACTCAAAACAATTTGATGAATATTATGAAGGGGAAAAAGTGAAGGAAACAAAGTTCAAATCAAATTCAAGTACAAAGAAAAGATGAAAGGAAGTACACTGTGATGAGCGATGAGAAGGGGGAAAAAAGAAAGAGAAAAAGAGTGTTAGACTGTAAATAATTGATCATGGATGATGAATAAGCAAAAAGCCCAGGAAAGCCCAGGAAAGATAAAGTAACACAAATGAAGAAAAGATTAAAGAAAGAAAGAGAACAAAAGAAAGAAATATATAAGGAGGTAATATAAACCACCATTTTCATATCGGGTACTGTTAGGGGAAATTCCCATCTTGCATATTAAATCGACAGTCGGAGAAATCAGGTTGTCCTGAATACACTGTTCAACTAATCGCCCCCCAAAAAAAATGTGCACACACAGCCCAAATGCATTGAGATACTATAAGGAAACAAG